ACCTGCTGAACTTAAATGTAAATAAAGCTTGGCAAAGCAGGTAACCGACAGTCATCATCTAACAGGTACATACTCAATGGCAACACAACTACAAATCAGAGTCTGCTAGCCATCCAAACAGCTTTCTGTTCTCATATTTGTATATAAAGGTTGTTTCCCTTTACATTTTTATAAACAGTGAATAGTTCTGATGGGAGCATGGCAATAAGCTTTGACAAAATGTGTCTTTTTAAAGTAATACTCAAAAGTATTGATTATCACGCATTTTAATTTTCTCCCTCAACTTCTTCATGAAGTGACTTCTCAATCTTAGTGATTGCACCCTTCATCACAAGTGACATGTCTCGCTTCTGAGCACACTTCTTTCTTATCTTCCCTAAATTTCTCCCTCCATGTAAATTTTCAACCCATATCCATAACCAGCTCATTGAATTTGCTATGGCCATGTGGTCATTCTTCTCTCATAACTCTAATTATGAATAAGGTCACTGATCACCCACATCCCCATCCATCCTTGGTACATTCCTCATCCTCGTTCATTCAGCTCTCAGTATAATAGACTTGAATAGATATGGTGTACAAGTGGGATAGTCATCCATTGCCAGATCTGGAACAGTTAAAACACTGTTGAATAAAACTGCTCACTATTCCAAAATTAGAGTCATAGAGATGTGCAGCTCAGAAACAGACCTTTCAGTCCAAATTGTCCATGCCGACCAGATATCCTAAATAAATCTAGTCCCATTCCCAGCATTTGGCTCATAACCCTCTAAACCTTTCTTATTCTTATACCCATCCAGATGCCTTTTAAATGTTGTTATTGTACCAGCCTCCACCGCTTCCTCTGGCAGCTCATTCCATACATGCACCACTCTCTGCGTGAAAAAGTTGCCCCTTACATCCCTTTTAAATCTTTTCCCTTTCACCATAAACCTATGCCTTCTAGTTTTGGACTCCTCTACTCTGGGAAGAGATATTGTCTATTTACCCTATCCATGCCCCTCATGATTTTATAAAACTCTAAGGTCACTCCTCAGTCTCTGATGCCCCAGGGAATATAGCCCCAGCATATTCAACCTCTCCCTGTAGCTAATATCCTCCAACCCTAGCAACATCCTTGTAGATCTTTTCTGAACCATTTCATGTTTCACAACATCCTTCCTATAACAGCGAGACCAGAACTGCACGCAGTATTCCAACAGTGGCCTAAACAATTTCCTGTACAGCCGCAACATGACCTCCCAACTCCTGTTCTCATTGCATTGACCAATAAGGGCAAGCATACCAAACACCTTCTTCAGTACCCTATTTATCTGCGACTCCACTTTCCAGGAACTATGAACAAGGTCTCTTTTGTTCAGCAACCCTACCCAGGACCTTAACATTAAGTGTATAAGTCCTGCCCTGATTTGCCTTTCCAAAATGCAGCACCTCACATTTATCTAAATTAAACTCCATCTGCCACTCCCTGGTCCATTGGCCCATCTGATCAAGATCCCGTTGTACTCTGAGGTAACCTTCTTTGCTGTCCACTGCACTTCCAATTTTGGTGTCATCTGCAGACTTACTAACCATACCTCCTATGTTCACATCCAAATCATTTATATAAATTACAAAAAGCAGTGGGCCCAGCATCGATCCTGTGGCACACCCCTGGTTACAGGCCTCCAGTCTGAAAAGCAACCCTCCATCACCACTCTCTGTCTTCTACCTTCAGGCCAGTTCTGTATCGAAATGGCTAGTTCTCCCTGTATTCCATGTGATCTAACCCTGCTAACCAGTCTACCATAAGGAACCTTGTCAAATACCTTACTGAAGATTATAGAGATCACGTCCACCACTCTGCCCTCATCAATGCTCTAAGTGTTTTCTCCTCTACAGCAAGACATCTTTTTAAACCCGTCTCCCTTGCCCCCTCCACCTACATCTCCAACAACAAGGGACTTCATTTTGACTAACATTGTGACAACCCAGTCAGTTGCCTATGCCACTTCATTCCCTTCAACGAGAATATCAGGTTTCCTTAATGTGTGCCCAAGTCTAGTCCTGAACTTATGTATTTCTTTTTCTCTTCTACCATCCCATTGTGCACTTCCTGAGGTCATGTCTCTGAGACCTCCTGCTCCCTCAGTGGTTTTCCCACTAAACTCCTGATCACCTGAAGTCCTGCCTGGGCCTCCTGACAACTAATATTGTTCAATTTTCTCTCTGCAAGTTTGTCCTCTTTCCCAGGTGTCCGCACTCCTATCTGTATTATCTGGGTTAAATACTCACTTGCAATGCCTTCTGTTCCAGCTCCCAAACCACTACCTCTGGTGTCTCCCAAGAATCTATACTTTGCCCCATTTTGTTTCCCATCTACACACTGTCCCATGGCAACATCATCTCTTCTCTGCTGTTGCTAAATTAACAGACTGCAAAGCTGATATCTAGTGCTGGATGAGCAAATAATTGTTCCAGTTAACCATTGGGAATTCTGAAACCATTGTTTTCAATCCCCACTTGAAACTCTTTTTCCCGAGCTACTGGCTCCAACCCTTTCCATGGCAGCTGTCTGACATTAATCCAATCTGTTTACAGCTCTGGTATTACATTTGATCTTGAGATGAACTTGTGACTTCACATTTGTGCCATCGAAAAGATCATCTACTTCACCCTTTCAACTTCCTCCTTGTTTCCGTTAATCTGCTGTTGAAACTCGGTTTCCTCTAGACTTGACATAGGCCTGGTTGGGCTCCTAGATTTTACCTTCCATAAATCTAAGATCATGCGAAACATTGCTGTCTGTGTCTTAACTCTATGCCATTCACAATTGGAAATTGCAACAAACATCCAAGTTCCTCTAATCTTCAAAATAAAAGATGCTAGTTTGGCCAAAATATTAAACAATTATGGAGAAAATGTAAGTAAGTTGATGCCAGCCATGTGGCAGAATCTGCTAAAGTACAAAGTGAACTAAATCTGATCCTATGTCCCTAGACCTGTCCAGCATTAAAAAGAAGTAGCTGAAAACAGAAACATACTTCTGTTTCATAATCCTACTGTTACTTTTATGTTCTACCTGTTCATTGTGGCATCTGCAGAATATAGCAGTGTATAATTTATGGAGTGTCTTCAATGTTTGCCTTAATCTATTTCTCTTAGTCCTAAACAGTAACATTTTATTTCAACATTTTTAATCCAGACATCCTAATTATTCATTGTGCTGTTTTCAGTTGGGAATTTACTGTGCCACAACTTACATCATGAAAATACCCCAAATTGTTACCATTGTTAAGAACTCGTCAGTTAACCTTGTTGAATAACCTTTTGCTTTCTACAAACCCATGAGGAAATGTACAATCAGCTCATGTAAGAATTTTAATAGAATTTGGCACCCATTTTTATGGTGATTTTACACTTCCTGTCAAAGTACACAAGCAATTCTCATCAGATCCATGGAAAATTATTTTTTAGGGAGAATGTAATGAATGGCAGATTTGACTCAGTGGCAGGACTTTCACCTCTAAGTCAGTAGGTTGTAATTTCATTTCCCAATCTAGGGACTTGAGCGTGTAACCTCAGGCAATACTGCAGTGCAGCACTGAAGGAGGGCAGCTGCAGTATAATGCACCATATTTCGGATGAAATGCTAAAATAAGTTCTCATATGCTCATAGTAGTGGACATAAAAAATGGCTTTCTTTTTAAATTCATTAACAGGATTAGGGCATCACTGGCTAGGCAGCATTTATTGCCCATCCCTAATTGCCCAGAGTCAACCACATTGCTATGGGTCTGGAGTCACATGTAGGCCAGACCAGGTAAGGAAGGCAGTTTCCTTCCCTAAAGACATTAGTGAACCAGATGAGTTTTCCCAACAATCAACAATGGATCCATGGTTGTCATTAGATTCTTAATTCTGGATATTTTATTGAATTCAAATTCCACCATCTGCCATGGCGGGATTTGAACCCAGGTCCCCAGAACGTTATCTGGATCTCTGGATTAACAGTCCAGCGATAATACCACTAGGCCATCTGGAGAAAGTAAAGGAATTCTGCCTGATGTCTTGGTTGTTGTCCTAAAAGAAACAAAATCAGGTTGTTATCATTATGCAGTTTGTGGGAAACTTATGCATGCAGTTTGGTTGTCATGTTTCATACATTACAACGGTGGCTTTAAAAGAAAATAACTGTCTCATTTCATAGCTCCCAGCCTTTGTATTCAGGTGTCCTGATGTAAACCCGTCTTGTGACATGGATTTTCAATCATCTGTGGGCAAGTGAGAGGATTGAGAACATGGGGTTTGGTTGATTTGGTGGTGGAATCAGCAACACACTCATCTCTCCAATGGACCTCCTGTACAGCACGTTGAATGGTTTGTTGAGGATCTGGAAATGATAGATTGATATCTTCACTGGGACGAGTGAACAGTCTAAGGCACATTATTGCCTAGCATTCAGGAGTATAGCAGTAAATCAGTAATAATTGTTTTTGAATTAAAAACTGCAAAAACAAAAAGGTGAAAATGGGAAAGTTCAATTGGTAACACCAAGTTGACATCAGAGCATTTGAGTACTTGTTTAGATCATCAGCCTGCTGACCCTGCTCTATTCGACCAGGCAATGACAGGTTTGAGATTGGCTGCCATCTGTCTGGGATAATCACCCAAGTCAGATTGCTTCTGGTACAAATAGATCTGAGTCAGGACCTGGAAAATATCCAAGTGTTCTGTTCCAGCCAACAGATTGAAAATCCAAGCCCATTTATTTTAACAAGTGTGAGCACCAACATTTTTAAAGTGAAGGTAAGCAGTGTATTAATCTGCATGAGGCAGCAATTTGACTGATCAGCAGTGCCAATTGTATTTTGGCATCAAATTTTAACGCTGAGAGATAATCAATTAATCCAGTTTTCTAATGTGTTATATATTGAAGCATTATGCCTAAATAGCAAAGTAAAAAGTCTCAAGGCTATTTTTGCAACTGGTAATTTAGAGTATGTTTGGTATTCCTACAGAACAGAAACTAATACTGTGAAAGGAGCTGCTGCAGACTCCTACAATAATGAAGCTATGATCAGTGGAAATCCAGGAGTTCAGACACTCCAGATAAAGAGACGAGCATTTGAGAGAAAGATGACTAATGAGGGCAATAATGCCAGCCGTGTTCGTCGGCACAGCTTAGGACAAGCATCAAGAGAAGAATGGAAAGCAATGCGATTTAACAGGTGAAATTTTCAAAGTAAAAAACATTTCTGAAGAAACTTTCTATTATCCAACATTAATAGAAATAGAACTTTGGAATTAAAGAACAGCCGTAATGGTCTGTCAATGTTAGCTTTGGGTTGAATTTTACCAATATTTGACTGTGTCAATTTCAGGGAGTTTCATGGAGTGTTTCTTTCCATGAGTTCCTGTAAGTTTTCCCATGCAATTTCCTTCTGTTCACCTCATTAGGTATGCACTACACCTCTATAGCAGTACTTTCAAGCTATCTCGTACTCATCACTGCCGGGACCTTCCACAGTTTCCACCACCACGGCATATTTAAAGGCTTAGCTCTGCATCAGGTTGAGTGCTGGCAGCCAGGAACCACCCTTCATCCACAATTGGAGGAACATGAAGGAAAAAGTTTCTGAGGGCACATGTGTAACATGTCTGACACTTCATTACAAATACAAGCTCACATTCCTCAATGTATTGCGATTTTACAACATCACCCATGTGATGAACAGCTGTCATAACTACACTACTTGCCTTCCCATTCATTTTTATCCTTTCTAAAAACTTGACAATAGTATATTCACATTCATCATCTGATTCATTCATTTATATTGTAAACAAATTGACTGTGCGTATGGCACCTCACTGGTTATAGGTTGCTATCTTGAAAATGCTGACTTTATTCCAACTAAGTCTTCCATTAGTTTGTCAATTCTCTATCTATTTTAATACACTATTCCCAATACTATGTGTTCTTATCTTATTAAATAGACTTTTATGCAGTACTGCATTGAATGCCTTTTGGAAATCCAAATATATTACATCTCCTGGTTCCCTTTTATGCATTCTAATTGCAACCTCCTTAAAGAATGCTAATACGTTTATCATGACTTCCCCTTCATGAAGCCATACTAACTCTGTTTGATTTCATCATGTATTTCTAAATGTTCTGCTTTACATCCTTTATAACAGACCAACATCTTGCCACTAACTATGGGATAGCAAACCTCCATTGCTTGTTTTTGTCTTCCTCCCCTGTTTGAATAAGAGTGTTGCTTTGGCAGTTTGTTAATCCTCTAGGACTTTTCCAGAATGTACAATTATAGGAAAATTTCTGCCAGTGCTTTCACTCTCTCTGTAGCTATTTCTTTCAAAATCCTAGGATGCAGTCCATCAGGTCCTGGAGACTTATCAGCCTTTGTTCTCATTAGATTTTTTTTGTTGAAAAATGTTATGAATTTGTACATAACTTTCTGGCAACCTGCAGTTGACTGGATGGACTTGTTATATGTGGAAGTTGTGTAAATGTAATTCATGAAAATAATCCGTCACTAATATCCGGTCAAAAATTGAGAATATTTTTCCATATCTTAGTCATAACATGATCTATGTCAACTTGGTAACACGGATGAGTGGGAGTAAATTCAATATTAAGAAAACAATGAGGACACCTTGCCTTATTCCTTTCATATTTTTGTAATGCAAGTTTTAAATTGCAAATTTTCCAGAAACAAACAACAAAAAATATCCACGCAGCCATGGAAATTCTGACATTAGACCAAGTCAGCCCTTCGCAGCATTAAGTTAGGGTAGGAATGCACCAAAAGAACTACATTTCACAGGCCACTTTGTATGTTATAATTACTGATAGTTTATTGAGAAATCTAAAATTGTGTATTTTATATTTTGGAGTCTTACCAGTAAGATGTTAATGTTAAAGTAAATACTTTCTTTAATCTCTTCAAAATGCAGGTCAAAAAGCCTTGCTCTTCATGTAATGTATACAAAGTCAATAAGCTCTGAAAATGAAGAAGGAGAGAACGGAAACATTAAAACAGACATCACATTTTCAGACAGATCACTCAGTGAAGGAAGTGTTAAACAACCTTTGAGTCCAGAACTTGACGAACATCGGTTACTGCCTCTTTCTGACTTTGATATTACTCCAAAGGAAACAACAAATTCCTGTGATATCATCAATGGTAACTGTCAGCAAAGGAATACAGAAATTCTAAAATGTGGCATGGAAGAACAGGATCAACTCTATATGCATTTGAAAGCAAGTATTGACGAAGTGAAGGCATTTTATTCTGAAATGGTAAAGAGGATCCCTGTCCCAGATCAATGTATTATTGAAGGTAAGCCAATCAAATAATAAACTCTGTTTCTTTTAATCACATTTATATCAGCATAACTCAAATGTTAGCACTTCTGCATTTAAGTTAGATATAGTGGTGAGTTCAAGCATCAACCCAAGATTGAACTGACATTTCGATGTTGCGATATGGCTGGGTTTTCAGGAATGCTGTCTTTTGGACTAAGAGCTCTGAGACATCATATACAGATATGATACATGATACTGATACAGATCTTTAATTTATCATCTTTTAAATGTAACTCATACTTCATCATTGCACTTCTATTTTGAAATATTTGCAGATGCCAGTTGCATAACTCAATTTGTTTAAAATAATTGTTAGTTCTAGATTCTTATTCTTGGGCTTATACCTCATTTCTATCTATCTCTCCAATGGACTATAAGGTGCCATGGTACTATTTGAAGAACCTAAGATTTCTTCCTGGCTAATATTTATTCCAGTAAGCAAAATATCAAAATTAACAGAATTCATCTCATTATTATCTATGGATCTTGATTGTTTGTCAATTACCAATCACTACATTAATATATGAATTAGGAACAGGAGCAGACCATTTGGTCACTCAAACCTGCTCCACCATCCAATAGAATCATGACTGACCTCAACTGCACATTCCCACTTACCTCTGATTACCACTGACTCCCTCATTTGTCAAGAATCTATCAATGTTTACATTAAAAGAATTCAATAAGTTGGCCTCAAACATGCTCTGTCGAAGACACCTACAAAGAACTATGACCTTCTGTGAGGAAAAGAAACATTCCCTTGGCTCCAACTTAAGTAGAAGACATATCATTTTTAAACTGTGATCTCTAGTTCCAGTCTATCCCACAAAGAGAAACATCCAGTTCGCATCCATCTTGTCAAGTCCACTCAGAATCATGTACGTCCCAGTAAGATTGCTTGTTGTTCTTCTAAACTCTAAAGGATACAGGTGCAGTTTTTCCATCCCTTCCTCATAACATAATCCCCTGTTCCAGGTATCACTTGAGTGAACTGCCTCTGAAGCATTCACATCTTTTCTTCAAATAAAAAGATCAAAACAGTACATATACTCCAGATGTGGTCTCACCAATACACTCTAAACTGCAGCAAAACATCCCTCTTATGTTTCATTCCTCTTGTAATAAGCAACAATATTCTATTTGCCTTCTTAATCATTTGCATAACTGTATATTAACTTTATGGATTCATGTACTAAGATACCTAGATCCCTTTAAACTCGGAGTTTTGCAGTCTCTTATTTTAGTTACATACTGCTTTCCAGTTCTTCCTGTCAAAAGTGTACAAGTTGAAATATTCCTACATGACACACCATCTGCTAAACTTTTGCCTACTCCTTAACCTTTTTATATCTCTTTTCAGACTCCTTATGTCCTCTTCACAATTTACTTTCCTGTTATTTTGTGTCATCAGCACATTCTGTAATCATAAATTCAATTGCTTCGTCAAAGTCATTATTATAAGTGAATAGTCCCACCTTCAAACAGTATGGTATTCCATTATCACATCCTGTCAATTTGAAAATGGGCCATTTTTCCTCATACTCTGTTTACTGCAAGCTAAAAAAATTCTTAGTCCAACTCTTAGGTTACCCCCCCTCCACAATGGGCTCTTATTTTGTGAAGTAATCTTTGGTGTATCATTTTGTCAAATGCCTTATGGAGATCCAAGTGCAACCTTCCAACAGGTTCGCCTTTAATCACACTGCCTGTTATTTCTTCAAAATCTTGAGTTAGTCAAACATGGTTTCCCTTTCACAAAACCATTTTGACTCTGCCTGATTTCATAGAGATTTTCTAAATGCCCTATTATATCGTTCTTAACAAAAGATCCCTGCATCTTCCCAATGACAGATGTTAAGCTAACTAGTCTGAAGTTTCCTACTTTCTGTCTCCATCCAAACTCTCCACTTCAAAAGTAAATGATAGATAATACTTTGGAACTGCAAACGACTGTGAAATATATTATATGAATTTAAATCCTTTCTTAGAAGTGGACAAGCTTAGACAATTGAATAAATTGTTTCAAACAAGAAAAGTTGATACTTGTTTCTATTATTGGTACCTTTCTTCCAATGGGGGAAACAATTATAATTGCACTTGAGATAACAAGATAACAAATTTTTCTGAAGAAGTGTCTAGGCCCAAAACGTCAGCTTTCCTGCTCCTCTGATGCTGCTTGGCCTGCTGTGTTCATCCAGCTCTGCACTTTGTTATCTCAGCATCTGCAGTTCCTACTATCTCTGAAATAATTGCACTTGACATTGGACATGATGTCACCATGATAATCTATTACTTCATGCAAAAATAAATTTTTAACTCAAGCCTGTTACATGGTTTGTTTTAAAAGTTTTCCAAAATGCTCATTGTAATGATAGAACACAGGTTTTTACCCATTATTCCACATAGGTAGTTCTTGATTTTGCCAGGCACACACTGAACATTTCAGTACATGAGAAAAATACTTCACTTGTTTAGTCTTTTTTGTTGCCTAGTCAGTCAAATATCAGACTACTGTTTTTCAATCGTGAGATATTATGTAGCAGCAGGTAGGGGCATAATGAGAGGGAAATAGTGTTAAAAATAACAAAACAAACAATTTGCAAATTTATTAAGTTGTCTGCATTTTCTGTTGCCCTTCTCTCCAATATAATGTTTTACATTTTCAGTGCAATGAAAGAATTTTTGTCATTCCCTGATCAGAAACCTGTAATCATAGATCTTTTCATTTAGTTATGAATGATGTATGTCGAGACTCGATTTATGTTTGCTTCACTGCAAATGTCAATTGAGCTGGATATGCTACATGAACTGTGCACCATATCAAATAAGCACCATATAACATTTGGCATTTGCTGTAATTGTATTTTATTGTTGGAATAAATTCTTGCCAAAAAGTACTATTTTATGCTATGAAAGGATACAATTTGAGCTGATTGTGAAATACTTGCCAGAAAAAGAATAAGACATCTACCCTCTCAAACTTCAATAAGAACAAGATTGATCAGTGCCTTACTTCCACGTATCTGTTTTGACCATATTCCTCAACAACATCGGTTAACAAAAATAAATCAACCTCAGATTTAAAATTAATAATAATTCTTGTGTCAACTGCTGTTTTCAGAAGAGAGTTCAAAATTTCAACTAGGGGATGTGAATGTCGCTGGTGAGGCTGAAATTTGTTAGCCATTGCTGATTGCTGTTCATAAAACAATGAACCACTGACTTAAATTGCTGCCATCTGGTTGGTATTAGTATATCAACAGTTCTGTTGAGTGGAGAGTTCCAGGAATTTGAGTGGTAATGGAGGAATGGTAATACAGTCCTTTCCGCTATTATGTGTGTATTGTCAATGCAAATTGGCTGTAACGCGATTGATGAATCGGTGAACACTTTGTAAAATGCGAACTTTCGCATATGTGTGTTGGCTAATGCAAGATTCCATGCCCAACACTTTTAAGTGTTGCAGTGCACAGAGGAATAAAATGTTTATGCCAATAGAGTCTCTGCGTCAGCTTCACATGTTCAGTTGACTCGCGTGCTTTGTTGTGAAGTGCTTTATGAGATGCACTCAGTAATTTTTGTTCATTTTTTTGCAAATTTTGCTATGTTACCCATAAATATGGGAGAACAAAGTAACAAGAATGTTTACAAGAAGCGTCTTGGTGATAAAATTGCGAGTGGTGAACATAAAAGAAAGGCTACAACACTTGAAAAGAAGCTAGATGCTATAAAGCGTTTTGAATGTAATGAAAGAACATTTGATATTGTTCGTGCAATAGGAATAAAGGAGTTTATGTTATGTGCCATTAGAGACAACGTTGATGTACATGGTTAAAATGTCATGGACAGGTACAAAATTTAATCAAGCTCACTCCTTTTCTTTGAAGACACTCTCCAAGCCCACAATCTCTTCATTGGAAGGAAAAGGCAGCAGGTGCATGGGAACAACAACACTTGCAAGTCCTGCATTACATCATGCACTATCCAGATCTTGGACATACACAGTTCCTTCTGCTGTAACGCAAAAGTTGCGCTCTTATGTGACCTTGTGCTATAGAAGATCACACAATAAAAATATCAGGCCTTATGACAAAAATAAGGTTGGGCCAGACCACCAAAAATATTACTCAAAATCAAAACAAATATAGGAGTTAGCCTAACACAAAGGATAGCACAGTTTAAATAAATGTTAAATTTCTATCTAATAATGAAATAATACAGCAAATTTAATACTTTACCTTGATAAAAATGAAGATTACTTGATGGGGGAGGAGGGTGATTTTGAGGTTGCTGAGTTGTTAAGACACGGGCTGAGCATTGTCATCATCACTACCTGTGTTTGCCTTCAGTGCTAGTAGTGGTTGGTTTGTTGGTTTTACACTTTTCATAATGTAAAGTTATGTGGTGAAGCTGCCAGTGCAGACAAGGAATGTGCATCGACATTTCCTCCCATTGTGAAAAAATTGATTGAAGAAGGCTACAATTTAAAACAAATTTTCAGTTTGGATGAGATAAGTTTATACTGGTAGCGAATGCCATCCAGAACCTACATTTCTAAGAATGAAGCACGCAGTCTATGCTTTAAGGTTACAAAGGATTGTATGACTGTGCTGTTGGGTACCAATGCCCGTGGAGACTTAAAGCTTAAGCTTGTGGTGATGAGCCACTCTGCCAACCTGCGAGCTTTGAAAGGTCACCTTAAGTTTACTCTAGGTTTCAACTTTAAATCAAGCAAAAGAGGTTGGATGATGGGGCAAATTTTTTCTGACCTAATTGTTAATGTTTTTGAAGATGTTTTTAGAAATTATTGCAAGAAAACTATTTGGATTTCCAAATCCTCCTCATTCTGGATAATGTGGCAAGCCATCCTCCCACCATTGCTGAGCTTTCTGAAAACATCAAAGTGCTATTTCTACCTCCAAACACAACCTCTCTCCTTCAATCCATGGACCAAAGTGTAATGGCAGCTTTTAA